CAATTTCTAGTCATTGTAAATACTTGTGATCAAGTGTTTACTAACATCTCAATTAAACTATTTGCTTATATGTGAATATTTGATAGATTTTTCTTATTCTTTTTCGTAAAACACAATCCGCTATATACCTTGTGTCATCACACATGAAAAACAATTCATAAGCTAAAATTATTTAACAAAATGTGACTGAAAAAGTTTCATCACTGGAGTTTAGTGTACTTTTTAATGAGTGATATAATAATTCGCTTTATATTCATATCATATGAATGGAAAGTTCTATCCAATAACGTAAATCATTTAGAGCATATGATAATGAGCTGTGCATATCTGTGTAATCTTTTTAATAAAAACAATTTCAGTAACTTATTTAGATGATTGATGATTTAAAACAACGTAGTAACTAAGTTCCTAAAAAAATGTTGTTTCTTAAAAAATCGAATACATAACTTTTAAATTGAACTGAAAAAAGAAACATTTAAGAGTAAATAGATTTGAGCAAGTGACTACCTAATAGTTAGATGACATTATGCAAATTAAATAAATGTAAACCACTTTAATTACTATTCACGTCTCTTTTAATAATAAAATAAGCATTTAAAATCAGAGTGATAGGTAAAGTGATCTCAGTTGCAAAATACTAGTTTGCAAATACTAGAGTATTTAGAGCAAATTATATACATATATTTTTTTGTGGCTAGCGTTTTTTTAACGAGTTGGTTTTCTACAGGATGGGATCGCTAACCCCATGTAAAACCCTTCTCCTTTATCCGGGCTTGGGACCGGAAGTAGCCCCCGGAGGTGCTCAGTGTTTTGGATAGGATATTTATTTTGCTACATTCTTGTTAACTACTTATAACAACCATGATTTCAGTATCAAAGAGACAAATAGAACCTAACATACGTATTAAAATGAATTTGGTCAGAAGATAATGCTAAGATATATCATAATGGTATAATAAAAATTACAAAAATTTAAATAAATCTTAAAAAATATCAAGTTACATGATAATACAAAAGATCTTGTCTACACATGTTACAAATCCGAGATATAGATAAGCACAATAGTAAGAAACTATTAGGCTTGATTGCACTATGAAAAAAATTAATGCAAGTTAATAATAGAAGAGTAAAAAGCTTTTTATTAGTTAAGTATAGTTAACTATAACAATTAGTTTTTTTATGTTGTTACCACAGAAACCATTGTTGTCTTTTTGTTTTCCTTGATACACAGTCTTAATAAATTTATATGTTACTGGTCAAGTTGAATTCATAAAATTGCCTTTCACAAGCCAGATTGTCACTTTTGGAGTTAATTTTTGCATAAGAATAAGTAAATAACTATGGATGTTTAATTCTTTTACTGTTAATCATAGTTTTAACAGGATTTTGAATATTTTTATTCACTTATAACTTAGTTTGTATACAATTTTATCGAATAATTGTTACCCTCCGGTTTCAAAAGTGGCATAAGTATATAATGTATATTCTGAAATAACCAAAACCCTGAAATATGAATTACCTAAAAACAGCATTAACATTTAATCCAAGTGTTCAATGCCAACTTGTTGATCATTTTATTATGATCTTCATTAAATCATACTGGAGAAAGTATGTCATCATTACAGACAGTTCAAAACTAATCCGTTACTTAAATGAACTTACAAAATGCTTTAACTAGTTTGACGCGAAAAATGTAATGATTAAGAACCGTAATAAATTCAATACTTTATACTGACTAACTAATTAATAACGTACTTTAATGATCAGTATTCTTTAGTATACTTTATAACACTTGATACATTAGCATAAATGAATGAATTAGTTTGAACCAGCTATAAACTATATTTAGTTTTCATCAGTATTGAATGATATATTTTTTAGTCTTTTATAATGCATTGAGAAAGTAGTTATTTGATGTTTAACAGTAAGATATTTTATAAAGTTGAGATCATGAGTCAATTGAAGCTAGACCACCATGGAAAACCTGGAAGTACTGGTCGGTGGTTTCGTTCTATTCATTCTATTTAACAATAAGTGGTTTTTGAGACAGATTATACAGTTTAGAAAATTTATGATATCGTATTTTTCTAGTGTATATAATACTTAGTTTATGAAACGTAATAATGAAGTAATTTATTATATTTATAGTTCAGTACGTTAGATCTTTATGTAATTAAAATGTATATATAACTAAATATCTATGAATTAAACATGAATATCAATATATCTATATTTGATATGTCTAATGGAGATGATACTTTCTATCATAGTAAATTGATTAGTTGGAATGTAACTTAGGTAAACAACAAACGGTCAATTAAATTTTTAAAAAAAATTGAAATAATCATAAACATTTGAAATGACTATTGAATGAATAATGTTTTTATGCATTACATAAATGAATGTAATTTGTATTAAAATTTTTTTTTATAAAAATGTTGGCATTTTATTCACCTTTATTAGAATTCTAAATTAAATCATTAAAAATTCTAATAATTATAAATTATCATTCATATCTTGGTTAACTTCATATTTGTTTTTTTTGTAAATAGTTTCTTTGTATTCATCAATCAATTTTAGTTTTTGATAAATGATCCGATATTGATAGATTTTTTTTTCGTAATTACATTTATTGACTAAGCTTATTTATTAGTAAGAGTTTCATTGGATTAATGAGATGAAAAACATAATATGACATTAACTTGAGTAACTTTAGTGTGCCCCTTCCAGCCATATAGAATGGTGAAGCCTAGTAAGCCCTTCTGGAGAAGAGTGCTACATCGAAGCGCGGCACAACTACCGGGGTGGAATAGATGTTTCTGCACTGCTTACGTAGAACCATTACGTAACACTCACATTCGATTTTTTAGGGGGCAGACTCATTTTCTAACATTCTTTTGAACCCTCAATGGTTATGCAATTACTCTTTGTAACATTCGTAATTGTTTGTGGGTATCGGTAGATTGGTTGATTAGACCGATCTACACCAACCTCATTACCACTCACGTTAGTACACGGGATGGTTGACATGATCCAGGAGACACAACGAGGACGTGTGAGTCGGATTTTGCCTTCCAACCTTACTGTAAATTTATGGTTTCCCTTTATGTATGATTGATAAGTTGTACTAGTCTATGTAGACATATAGAAAATAGTAATTGTGTACGAAGTGTACATCAAATCAAATAAATTGTAAATAGTTAACTAAAAATTCTAATTCAATTCTGATCTATTGAAACAAAGAAATTTTATTCTAAATCTAGCTTAAATAAAGCCAGAACAAATATTGATGCAGAATAATATGAATTCATTATATTTCGTGGTTTCTCATAAGCTGCTTACAACCAAATATGCATTAGAATTTTAGCATTAGGGTAATAAATAGTGTGGAACAATTGACATACTGAATGTAAAGGATTGGAGTGTCAAAAGATTATCAGTGATTATATATATATATATATATATATATATATATATATATATATGTTCAAGAAAACGTCAGAGATTATTAGGTGTTAGAATCAAGGAAGCATAAAGAGTGGATGCGTTAATAGTTGAGTAGAGTTCAGAGACAGATAAGATAAAATGTGTGATTATTTTAGAGGTAAAGAAGGATTCATGGAATTAAAAACAAATAAGATGGGTTGCGTAATAATTGAATAGAATTTGGAGAGTTCATATAATTTAAGAGAAACAAGTGAGTGAAAATGTGTGAGAGAAAGGTTGGTTTAAGAATTGGGTAATGGAAGCGATAAACCGTATTCATCAACTAATAATATTAGTCATTCCAATTAAACTGATAAACTAAACGTTCAGTCAAATAATCACTAATCAAGATTCAATGAAACTTAAAACAATTATTTTTTAAGTGATGTATGTCAGTAATGATTACTTTATCTGAAACATGGTAAGTTTGATAGTATTAATTATGTAGTCATAAAAGTTCGTGTTACCCTATAGAGACTGCATTTTAATATAATCAAATACTATTGAAAACACAAATAAAAACACAAGTGTTTAAAGTAGGTTCCGTGGAAAAACTAGTTTCAAATGGATTTGCTCACTATCGCTAATTAGATAGGAAAGGACATTTTAGTGGATAGTTCTCTAAACATGGTGCAGAATTCAACAACAGTTAGATTATTAAGAAAACATACGAGAATGAGTTATGGACAACTGAGAATGAACTTTTTTTCAAATCACAAAGTAAATGACCAGGCGTTTTCACATTTTTGTTTTGTCAAACTTGCTAGTTCTACAACATAAGATGATGAATTGCTCAACAGTTCAAATTCAAGACGCATTAAAAATTATTCTTTGTTGTGCTCTTTGTAACTTTTGAAAACGGCAATTTTCATGTGTCAAAATATGTTTCAAATCTATTTATGAAAACTGGAAATATTGAGATTTTATATAATTTAATTAGTGGAATCTATAAATAGTCGTTCTAAACATTTACTATTCTATTTTCTTCAGAAAAACGACTTCACCCCGATAAACCATTTTATAATAGGAATTCATCAAACACTTTGATCTTCCTAATGACATTTGGATCACTGTTTTTTTTTATTTATCAAAGAATACTGATCATGACGACACTACTGATTAAAAATAACCAATCTTTTCTATATCCTGATTACCTCACAAGAACCAATAAATTAAGTATTTATTGTTACTACTTGAGAGTAGTATGATTTACCAACTAAATAAATAGTTTCCATTTAAGCAAAATTTTTAAAATAACTGAGTTTTGTAGCATTCACTTAGAACAGTCAAAGCCAAAGAAAGCTGAGAAATATAGAAAACAGTTATTTTGATTTAAAAAATGCGTTTAATATATTACTAAATAGGTGTTAAAAGGGTTGTAAAGCTTCAAAATGTTTTACAACATTACAACATTAATCATCATTTGGTATCAGTGAAATTAAAATATAAAAAAACACGTTTTGACATTCCAATTATATGAATTTTGTTGTGTTTTTTTTTATTTTTCCACTCAGATGAATCGAATGAGTCGGAAGTCAATGATAACAAAAAGGTAAGTATACAATTGTTTTGACCTTAATTGATACATTATGTAAATGGTAAATTAGTTATGGACTAAACAGAACAACAAATTAATACGTAATTTTGATAGAATTGTACATTAATGTCAGTTTATTTCAATTGTTGACACGTCGTAACACTGGAATAAATAAAAATTGTGAAAGATATGTGGATGAAGACGATGAATAAGCAGATGATGAATAAATGAAGAAATAAATGAATACTGATTTTTATCAGAATGGGGGATTTGCGGAGATTGTAATAAGTTTAATGGTTAAATTCACGAGTTAGTCTTAGCTAGAACACTATTGGAAACCTGGGAGCACTGGGCAGCCATCTCATTCCAGTATGCAACTCCTTAGCTGTGCGCGTCCTCGACCCCGCGCACGGGACTCCAAGCCCAGAACTCCAGTCTCCAGAGCGATCGCTTGACCTCTAGACCATTGAGGTGGCATACAAAGGTGCTAATGTTTAACTTCAATCGATCTATGATTTTACGCAACCCTTCATCCACTGTCTGAGATGGATGACTGTCTCCACCTGACACAGATTGCACTCCATTGGTCATGGTTTCTAAGTAGGACGCCAGGAAATCCATCTTGAAGCTAGTCACTAGTGAGCAAATGATTATTATCAGAATGGGAGTTTGTGGAGGAGTCCCATGCTAAGAGGTGCTTCAAGGTTTTCAGTGGTGGTCTAGCTTAGATCGACTCATTAATTTAACTATTAAAAATAGGGATATACAAAATAATCCGAATTTTTGGAGAAATAAGTAGAGAATAAATGTAGTTTTCAAAGTGGTTTCCAATTTCAGCAAATTTATGCACTCACCAAATGTAATTGAAAGACCTAGAGGAACATAAACACGTTTGACAACAATATAAAAATGAAATTAAAACAATGATCATTTGTATAATGTAGAATACAAATGTCATAAGTTTGTCAGGAGAATCGGAGAACTTTTAAGTTACATAATTACCATGTTCTTGAATTGATCTATCTAAACAATATAAATTTATAAATTTAACATGAATTTATTTAAAACAAAACGTATGAAATTAAGTTTTACAGCATTTCCTCATGTCTTTTTAAAATAATGATAACGAATTTAATATTTTTCCGCTGAATAACTCCAAAATGATTGTTAAGTCTAAACTTCCAAGAGATATCAACAGATAGATCATATAAAAAAACCCAAAATTAATAAACAGGTCTTTTGTCCTGATTCAGAACTTCACAGAAGTGTACACTCGTGAAGTCACAATGAATTGATTTTTGTTATCTTCGAATCTCATTGAAACCATCTTAGTTTTACACTACTTAGTCGGAATCTAGCAATCCAATCTTTCAAATTTATTTAATTTTTGATATGAATAGACAACTTTGCATTAAATTTGTATGAATGAATAAGTAAATTCCAATTATAAATTGATTTGACTTAATGTAGAAGAATATAAAGTTATCGAAATGGTCAAAAATATATTATACTGTGAATATATGGGATATATACACATGTATAAAGCTTTAATACATAGTACTTTGGCAGTTTCAATTACTATTTTATCATAGATCAAGCCAGATCGAAGTATCTCAATCAATGAAATCAATGAAATAACTGAAAGATCTAGTTTGTATACTACAATTAATTCTTAGATAGATTTAACTGAAAAAATGCTTCTTATTTACCGAACACGGATTTAATATTTTGTATTGAAGAATAAAATAATTTTATTAGTGTGTCCTTATTTCATGTTTTAATGGAACACTTATTCATGGATTTATTAGGATCACATATATGAACAAAATAAATGAGAAAAGTTTTTATTTTGTTGGGATATCATTTTAGAATGGATTAGAAATTTAGAAAATATTAAACTCCATAATTCATATAACCAGAATATGTTGAAGTTAACAAAAACTCGTAAAATTCATTTGAAATCGATCTTAATTTAACAAACCATTTATATTAAAATAGATCAGATTGTAGTGCAGTGCTTTGTTAATCGTTCACCTTGATAACCGTTATAATACCAATCTTAACGGTGAATAAAATCAGAAGGCAAAGAGAAGCAGCAACTACAGTTTATTGTCAAATAACTCAGGCCAGAAAGGTACCAGCATCTGAGCGAATACCAAGGAGCAAGCGAGCAGTAAGCGAGTAGGCGAACGAGTAGCAAGCAATTACATAGGCAATTCATAGTCAAAACAAAACAAAAGCTGATGATAGGATTCGCCTGCATGTATATATGGGGAGGAGTATGAGTCATCGAATGATACTTAAGTAATCAACATTTTGGCTGGAGTGTCACGTACTCTAGTGGTCATAACAGTACAAAGAATATGCAAATTGTCATTATCCAAATGACTATGTTTGTTAAGTAAGTTAACAAAAAGGCTTAACCAAAATTGATCATAATCGAAATTGATTGTAGGATGGTTGCTATAATATAATACCAATATAGAATACAGAAACGTGTTTCATGATCTTTGTAGAAGTACTTTAAGCTTCTTCAATTTATCGACTTCACCGGACATTATTACTTAACCTCTATGAATGAACTGAATGAAACCATGGTAATGTAAAGTGAATAAAATAAGTAACTTCATAAGTGTTTATATTTAACCTTGATCACATAATAGTTGAATCTAATAAAATAGTTCATTCCTTTGTAAGATTTTTGTAACGTACATTCTTTTTAATATAATCTATGTTTATTTTACCAAATTCTCAGTTAATAATACGAAGTTCTCAATCAATAAAACTACATTTAAATCTGTCATCAAGTGAATGAATTGTGGTTATTGTTTTTGATGTATTGCATTCCATGTTTTGTAATACTTCATTTTACATTCAAATAAAACATCTAATCAGTCAAGATACATCTTATGTTTGTCATTTTTAACTGTCATTACTCAAATACTAATTCCTAATAAGCATTACCAAGATATATATAGATAACAACCGATTACAATGGTTACCAATATTAGTAATACTGAAATTATCTTGTAAAGATTTGTATTTTTCTGTTACCGATATTGAGTGAATTTGATTACTCTCTGTTATTATATGAACTGCGCTAACAAATATCTCTAGAGTGACTAATTTTTGTTATGTTTCTTACTGAAATCACCATAAGTGTCAATATGAACAAGAGATGTAAAACACTTACAAAGTATGGACTGAAATTCCATGAATGTATATAGATAAAACTTAAGAAAATCAAGTAGGACAGTTTTTTGAATACAGTTCTTCATTTTCAATTTCATAAAAGCAAATAACTTTCATTATACCAAAATACCAATGTATCTTAAGATTAAGAAATCAAAGAACAGTAAACTTTTAGGAAATCATAAGTATGATATAATTTAGTTTACATATATTTAATTGAACACTTGAAATGATAATTTAGAACAGTAGAGGTGCTTTTTGAACGTAATAATTTTAGTAAATGCCGTAAGGTGAATATGATGTTCCAATTCAGTCTGATCAACAAGATTTAAGATAATGACCCACTGAAGTTTAATGAAACTGTAGAAATAGTGTGGCAAATGTATCTATTTTGCATTCAAAAGATGAATAGATTAACCTACAACTACCTCAGTAACAAAAAAGAACAATACTTATAACCTATTTTTAAACATGTTGAACTTATAGTTTTTTGTCTTTTTTACATTCTTAAAAAAACGTTTTGCAAATGGTAGTTCTGAAAAGAATTTTTACCAATATTCTAAATTACTTTTTTCAACCGTTTATGTAAATGCCATTAAATATCTACAATTCAATTTATAGTACAATCTCAATTTTTGTAAAGCTTATTATTCTTTGATCAACTATTCATTTCTTAATGTTTAAATATGTTAGTGTTTTAAGCTAAATAAACTTGTTTGTTTGTTTGTAGCTAAGGACATAGAGTATAATGTTAAAATTATTCACTGTTATAGTCTCGTCCGCCTAATACAGTTTTTGAAATTAATATACTCCCTTAAAATGTTCCGCTGTACTGTTTATAATAAATAACGAGAAATATATATATATATATATATATATATATATATACTTATCAAAACTAAAAAGCTAGAAAGTGTGTTCGGAATTTCATATAGCACTGACATAATTCAACATAATTCAATAAACATATGCTTATAGATTCAATTAGTATTGTTTGTTTGAATCTTCCCATTGATTTTTAGGACTGCAACTGGTCAGTCTCTTATTGGCATATGTGCAAACAAACAATACTAACTGAATTTAAACATCACCCCATTGCACAAGCAAGTGGCTATCAGGACTCAGTAGCTGAGTGGATAACGAGATGGAGTTTGAAGAGAAAGGTACTGGGTTTGAGTCCCAGAGTGAACATCAACTCTGAGATGCAGGTACATCCACCTGACGAGTCTAAAATAGGACGAAACGCGCATCTTGGATTCCACTGCTAGCCACTATCCATGTTTGCTTACATATGCTTATAGATTTAATAAATATGAAGACAACGAGATATCTCACGGATGAAATGACTAGAATCGTCAAGCCAGAAAGAAAAAAACTGTAAGGAAACGAAGGTTGTTTGATAAGTAATCAGTAATAGTCAAAGTATAAAATCACCAAAAGTAGGTAAATGTAACACAAAACTACGTGTTAAATTGAATTTACTCTTTGATACCGGGTAATCATAACTGCTATCATTTATCAAAATATACCGGATATTAGATAGTTTCGGGGATGAAATTATTTATATTCAACCTTAGATCACTAATAATGAAGAGTTCTTACTTTCCCTTAATTAGTAAAAATGCTACAGGACGATCATTTTTTTACTACTATTTGTATAATAAAAGAAGAGTTTCATCCAACTTTTTTAACTTGAGTGTGTAATTAATGTTGATCTATGTTAACCATATTTTTATTTTTATTTCATCCACAAATTCTTCTATTGATTGAGTAGTATATATTCATAGTAGTTATTTTGCTTTTCAAAGAAATTTCCATCATTTTCGACTTCCATTTAAAAAACATGTGATATTTTTTTAGAAGATTATAGCTTCAGTATTTTTAAGTTTCACTTGTGCTACTCATAAGTAGTCACATTATTTTTACTAAATAAATAAATGTCACTATGGAATATTTTCAGTATACTATGATTTACTTTATGATGTGGTCACAGGACTCATAGTATTTGTATGTGTTTTTTATAAGTTACAATCAACTATGATTTACATTTTCATTTGAATTAAAAGAGCACAACATAAAATAACATCAAGAGCATCCACGCAAGACAGACAAACACGTGATATTAAATGACGAAAATGGAAAACCTAATACTATTGTTCAATAATGTATTTTTCGTCATGGAACAGAAAGAAATTGAATCCATCTCACTTTATTCAACCTATTCTCAGATTTTTAATATATTTTGTAAATTAATATTATTCCTTAAATATATAGTTCATAAGTGTTACAATCAACAAAATTCAACATAATTCATTTCTTTCTGGTTAGATCAATCTAAATATTCTCCAGTCATATTCGAAGCATCAGAACCGACCAAGAGACTTTATAGAGTTGTACAGATTTTGAAAACGTGTGATATCTGACTAAGGTTGGGAAAATTGACCATTAGAAGTTCAGTCGCTGAATAAACAATAGCAGTTTCTCTGAGTGAAACATAGGTTATGGTTTACGAAACCAAATAAGATTTGATAAAAATTATTAACTTCATAAACCAAGAAGTTTGAAAAGTAGTAGCTAGTTCTGCTGTACGAAATAATAAATAGATGTACTGTTAGGATAATGACAATAATTTTACAAATTTCTTTTGCGAAACAAAGATCAGATTTGCTAAAACGTATCCTGATAACTTCAACAACAATTAGTAAACATATCCCTAAACAATGAAGTAAATATAGTGAGTCACATGAAAGGGGTTATTCCATCCCACCTTATTTCCTTTATGATTATGTCTCTAAAATACAATATTGCTCTGAAATTCAAGGATGCACCTCGATATTTATGTTCACCAAGTAATTAGTTCCACAGGAGTATTATAGCTGGCAATAAAATATGAAGGTGGAGAGTTTGGGCTGTCTCTCTTCATTTCTAGCTACGGCAGTGCAATCATAAATAATTTGATAATGGGATATTTGAAGGTTTCTTTCCTCAAAAACTAATTGTTAACACTTCATAGTAGTTAAAAGAATATAATCATAAACTTGATGTCACTTCTGATAGTAAAACCAAAAATGAACTATTCATTTGGTTCCTTTAAAAGTCACAATTCTTTAAGAAAAGTAACTTCAATAAAATTAGTTTACTGATGAAACATCAGATGTGGTTTGCGTTTATTAATAATGACGTACATATAATAAAACTCTGGTTTTTTCTTGTTTATTGTTAAATAGTCTATTTTCATTTTTCCCCGTCCATTAAAAGATTTCTACAGCTTCATACAAACGTGTTACATTGAAACGACCAAATCGTTCCAATAATAACTTAACAGATATATTCTCTGACAAGTCGCATTATTCAGATTCCGATAATGAATCCAGTGATTCCATATCAAATTCATCATCTCCTTCGTCATTCACCTCATCGTCATCATCTGATGATCTGAATGAAGCCCATTATGATACATCACAACCAGAATCATGGATTGGTACGAATTTTAAACAGTTAAATGGTGTCATTCTACCAGATATGATGCATCGACCAAATTATCATACGACAACACATGAATCTAAAAAGAAACGTTTATCAAAAATTATTGAAACTAGTCAAAGTTCACTAAATGATGATGATAATAATAATAATGGGGATCAACAAGCTATTTCTTCTAGTTCTGTTGATGAACATTATAAATTAACTCCATCATTATCATCATTACAAAGAGACGAAGTTTCATTTATTTTACCAAATGTTTCTAGTATAAATACACCGACATTGTCAAACAACATATTTAATTCTGATACGTTTAAACCAGAAGTGATCAATAGGAACACAAGGGCGTTGACTCAATCTAATAATTCATTGGTTGAAAATTATGGACCAGTCACACCCGTTGTACAATATACCGATGATAATGATAAAAATATTCTCGTTGGTAATCAACAAAACCAACAGTTTTCAATCAATCAGTACAGAAAAAAAGAAAATGCAAATTTAAAGTCAGAATTAAATACAATTAATTTACAATCTAAAAACAACAATAATGAATATGAAAAATTAAATCATTCAGATAAGCATGTATATAGTAAAAAGAAAGATCATTTAGTTGAAAATACTAAAATAATTAAACCACTGGAAATTATTACAACTTGTAAAGAAGACAAATCAAGTCGAAAAGAAGTTGTTGAAAATCACTCTGAAATAATGTATGATAATAATATGAGACTACCTCAAACATCATCATCATCATCAATGTCATCAACATATGTCAGAAAGGAACATTTCTTTCCCAAGCACTTAAACACTAATGACCGTCAAATATCAAATGAAGAGAAACGTGCATACAAACAAAATGGTAAGTTTATTTTTATATTAAAAATAACTTATTTCTAAATATTTAGTACTAAGTGTCATGTGTATATTAATAGTTACAAGACAGTAATAACTGCATTCATAGTTTTCCATTTTACGAATGCCAGAATTTGAAACAAATAGTTTATAAATATGTATTTTTGATAAAATTATGGAGCAAAAGTTTTATTATCTTGTTAATATATTTATGTCACAAAAGAATTTTAGTGCAACATGGCAGCGAAATTTTTCGATACAAAATGAAATGACAATACTGGAATGAGATCGAAAGGGATAATATCGCATAATCAATAAATGAATGGATAAGAATTGTATTTATTAGAAGATACAGTTTAATCTAAAAGAGAATCAAGACTAACTTTGTTCAGTTAGGAGAGCTCATTTGATCGTTGCAAGCAATGTAATTAAAAATTACATCAGGATCATCATTGACTTTTATTCTAAACTACGTTTGATAACATGTTAAGCTAGTCAGCTTCATAATCGTTAGAAATACTCTCAAGGTGTACTGGAGAACTAACAGACATTTGTTTGATAATTTTTTTTCAACAGAAAACACATTAATATGTTAACATATACGTTAATTGGATTATCTAGGATCATATATTTCACAAAAAGCGTATTTACACAAAAATATGAAATATAAGTACCCATTTTATGGGATAAGTATCGATTACAAATTTGAGGTGTACTTTAACAGTTGACTGTAGTAGCTAATTGCATACAAGAATTAGCTTGGACAGAGCTATATTTGCTCTTTATTGTTTGTATTTTAAATTCTTAACTATACACACTCTCATCGTACTTTTTCAAACCTTCATCTTGTTTTGATAGTCTATTTTACTATACAGTTTTTATAAACTGACGTTTGTTATAATGTTTTGTATGAATATAGACAGTATTATGGCAAGTTTAACTTTGTTTCAATCCAATTTACGGGGATATATGGCTATTTTTGTTCACATCATATATATATATATAACTAAAGATCCTCCACATTCTATATAGAAATGATAGTATGTAAGAGTGTTACTAACTGATGAAGTGATTGACTGTATACGCATCGTTTTATAAAGTCAAAGCCTAATAATACTTCACATGATTATAAAAGCTTTATCTCCCCACTGATTCTTTTTACATAAGTTTTAGTTGATTGCTAAACCTATTTCCAACATTCACTAATGGATGTTGATATGAATTTAAAAGATAGAAATGTCTTATTACATGGCATATAATAGCAACATTATTGATAAATCCTATGTAAATAATATGAAGCAAAAGATAAAAAGTGTGACCTTTTTGAAAATGTAATTATAATAGTCAAGCTCTAACTTTGTTATCCATTATGTAGCATGTGATGTCTCTGTTCACTTACCAGTGACCTAAAATGCAAAATATTGACATCGATCATCAGTATTTGATTGCAGTACACTATAACGTTTATGCATGGAGAAACTACTGAGTGAGAGAACCTGATCGTCAATGTAGTTTTAGTTGAATATGGTAAACTGATCCTGCAGTTGTTAATTACCTTTAGATGAAGTGCATAAGATGTCAGTCATATCTCAATGATGCCTACATACTATTCTATCTATCAAAGAATCTACTCTAGGAAGAGCTTGAGGATACAACATTATTATTTAAGATATATTCATGAACTCAATGGGTGTTAATGTGTTGGATCAGACTTTCTTGTTATACTATTTATTATTTATTTAAACACATAAATATTAGTACAAGAAAGCACCAGATATATAGGCGCCGCACAAACCCCATTCGATTTATATGAGGGCTGTGATACTGCCCAGGTGCCCAAACTAAAGCAGGTGATTTTCTTAGGGGGCCACACCCCGAGCTTTTGACCTAAAGATCTGATCCACAAGGCAGTGGAGCATCGTGAAGAGACGCAGTCCCATAGTAGCCGGTGACCGACGATTGATTCATACGCCATTTGTTCCCTCAGGATACTGGAGCTCATATGCACCATTTGTTTAGAATCAGGGTTTTCTAACCCCCCTAGGTGGACTCGTCGTGTCCACCAACCCGGTTAAAGCACCGGACATTCGCTTTTCATCCTCTCAATTTCGTAAAAAACACCCCCATCACTAGAAAGCAATGAGTAGGTCTTCCCTGACAGAGGCTATATACGCGTGGCCATATGAGAGCATTTGGAGAAAGAGAGCGGACTCTTCCCACTCTCGATCGTGCCAGAGCATTTGGGGGCAAACAACTATCACACAACTTTCTGATTAAGTTCAGTGTGATAAATACAAACTTCAGTTAGGTACTTTAAGTCACAAGGCTAATAATCAACTCTTTCACCAAAATCTTGCACATAGTACTATTCAATTCATTTGATCCGTCGATTTCACTCGTAGAGGTTTTAATTTCTTCCTTGCGGATACCAAGGATTGCAATCGGTCAGTCTTTATCAGTATATGTACATCTTGAGGAATCCAAAAATAATAAACTCTGTTTCTTACGTCTAATTCTCTACTTCTATCAGTAAATTACTACTAGCATAAGGTTACGGTGATTGTTGGATTTTATTTAAAAGAAAATTATCATTTTGATGCTTTTCTTTTCCATAATATTTTTTTCTTTTGATTATTCTACCACAAAGTATTGAATTTGGATCGATTACTTTTTTTGTGTATGTCTCTAATATAGCCGTTACTATAATTCGTTTAACGAAATTTATTTAAGGTCAAAAAGTGAACTTATTAATTTCACTTAATACTGTTATGTTAGTTTTTTATTTCTCTGAAAATAAGTATCACTAGTTTTTTAATTAAAAAAAGCAGTGGCCAGTGGAGTTCTACCAAGTCTGTTGTAGAGATATCAACTCACTGAAGAAAATTGGTGAACGGTCGCTCAAAATCGTGGATTGGTTGAAGTTAGACATTGACACCGTTGGATGCCGGCTCAGTTGTCTATCAGTTAAGGGCTCCCAGTCGAGACTGGTAGGTCCTGGGTTCGAATCTCGCGAGTGCGAGATCGTGGATGTGCGATGCTGAGAAGTCCCATAATAAAACAAAACGGCCGTCCAGCGCTTCCAGGTTTTCGATGGTGGTGTAGCTTCAATTGACCCTTGATTCCAACTATGATAAAAAAAACTTTGTCAACGAAATAAGTTATAAGATGGATAGGGGCTGGCAGTGGAATCCAGGACACGCGTTTCGTCCTATTTGGGACTCTTCAGCTGGATGTACCTGCACCTCAAAGTCGATGTTCACTCTGGGACTCGAACCCAGTACCTTTCACTTCAAACACCACCGCGTTATCCACTCAGCTACTGAGTCCTGAAATAAGTTAGGTCTGATGTGAATTTTCGAAGTAGTTATTTTCAACATTCATAATTAAATAACGGGAAAGACTCATAGTGCTATTGAACATGAATAACGGCGATTCGACGAAGGAAATTTTCTTTTCCATTTATTACTAACTTATTTCTTACTTTTGTTTACAAGAAACTGAACCACAAAGAGCTAATAGGAGTGACATTAGGCTTTTAATTATTGATATATGAGCATTTCTATTTATAACTAAAATTATGAATTTTCACAGTATATATATATATATATATATATATAACAGAAATTATACTTGAAATCGGCAATAATCATCCACTTTTAAGACTATGTATACAATGTTAAATCTTTGTTTCTGATTAAAACCTGTCAAGAATGAGAAACTCTAATCATTTTAATAAGGAATGATTATTATTGGTTTCAAGTACAATTTCTTTTGTAAATACTCAAGATCTTCATAGTTTTAAAATGAATCTAACGTGGCGTAGTGTGTGCATACAAACATAATTAAAATATTTCATGAAAAGCTTCGAAGTACTGAAATTGCATTCCCTTAAACTAATGTATAAGTTGTGTGTCTATGAATGAACAAGCATTAATGGGTAATTTTACAAACGTGCATTGGTCTGATAGTTTGTATTATCGATCTCAGTATCAAATTTCAGCAATGTAGTTGTGTGAGAGTAAAGTAACTTGATAGTAAAATATGAATGTTGAATTTAGTAATCAGTTGGTTCATTTAAATGTACACGAAAATTTGTGAAGACACCTCGTTATTATTTAGGAAAAACGAAAAACCCTATTTAGACATTTTATAAAAAATAAATGGAATGAAAAAATATTTCCAGGTTTTCCGTAGTGGTCTAGCTTCAATCGACTCATGATTTCAACTATGAAAATACTGAAATCTCCACAAAACCCCTTCTGATTATAATCACGTGCTCACTAGTGACTGACTTCAAGATACATGTCCTGGAGTCCTAGTGGGAAGCAGTGACCAGTGGAGTCCAACCACGTCTGTTGTGAGATAACAACTCACTGAAGACAATCGGTGAATGCTTGCTCAAATTTCGTGGATTGGTTGAAGTTAGACATTAACACCGTTGGATGCAGGTCATCCCAGTGGTCTATCGGTTAAGTGCTCCGGCGCGAGACTGGTAAGTTTTGGGTTGGAATCTCGCGAGGCGGGATCGTGGATGCGCACTATAATCTCAAACACTGAACTGTGAATTCCAATCATCCGATGACAACTGCACTGTAGACAATCAAGTAGCTTAGCTAGACTTTAAAACTAAATACATGTAGCTGAATTATTTTTAATGAACCTTGATTAGTAAACGATATTGAATCCGAATATTTCTCCCAAAAAAATTTATAATGCACTTATTATTCAAGCTACAACAAAATATTACGGCACAATTTAACTAATGTATAGAGTTCAGTTCTATTTACTTAGATTTCAGAAAGACAATGTGCTACTAGCCTGTTGACCCAAGAAGTGAAGCATGAATAAAGAGACTGAAATCTCAAGTTTACACATTGAAACTCAAATACTTAATCCACTGAGATACCACTTCATAAGTCATAACATATATGTATGTATGATAAAAACGAACATTTGGTTTAGTTTTTGTAAATCAACAATAATTCTATTGTTCGATACGATTATATA